AAAAAAAAAAAAAAAAAAGAATATGAATATATGTGTGTATATTTCAGAATGCAAAAGATATGCCTGTAGGTTACATATCAAATTACTAACCAGTGGCTGCTCCTATCAAGCAAATTTGATGGCTATAATCACCAAGACAAAAAACAACAAATGCTGGAGAGGCTGTGGAGAAATGGGAACCCTAATCCACTGCTGGTGGGAATGCAAACTGGTGCAGCCTCTATGGAAAACAGTATGGAGATTCCTCAAAAAATTAAAAATAGAAATATCTTTTGATCCAGTTATCTCACTACTGGGTATCTACCCAATGAACCTGAAAACAACAATCCAAAGAGGCTTATGCACCCCTATGTTCATCGCATCATTATTTGCTATAGCCAAGACATGGAAGCAACTCAAATGTCCCTCGACTGATGATTGGATAAAGAAGATGTGGTATATATATACCATGGAATACTACTCAGCCATAAAAAAAGACAAAAATCGTCCCGTTTGCAACAACATGGATGGACCTGGAGGGTATTATGTTAAGTGAAATAAGCCAGAAAGAGAAAGACAAACGGTGCATGACTTCACTCATATGTGGAAGATAAACCAACACATGCACAGATAGAACTGTTTGTTGGTTACCAGGGGCTAGGGGGTGGGAGGTGGGCACAAGGGATGGAGGGATGCACTTATATGGTGACTGATAAACAATAATGTACAACAAAAATTTCACAATAAAAAAAAGGGGGGAAAAAAAAGAAAATTTGAGGGGCTGGCCCAGTGGTGCAGTGGTTAAGTCCACGTGCTCTGCTTCGGCGGCCCAGGCTTCGCAGGTTCGGATCCTGGGCGCGCACCGACACACGGCTAGTCAAGCCATGCTGTGGTGGCGTCCCATATAAAGTAGAAGAAGATGGGCATGGATGTTAGCCCAGGGCCAGTCTTCCTCAGCAAAAAGTGGAGGATTGGCATCGGACGTTAGCTGAGGACCGATCTTCCTCACACACACAAAAAAATACAATAAAATAAAAATAAAAAGGTCTTCCATTTAAGTTGTCAGTATCCTCATATCTCGCAAAAAGAGGAGGATCGGCATTGGATGTTAGCTCAGGGCTGATCTTCCTCACAAAAAAAAAAAGGAAAATTCGAGTACTTTCAATTTTTATTATGTATATCTCTAAATTGTTACAATTTTTAAAAATTTTATTGTATTGTCATGAGAACACTGACCATGAGATCTACCCTCTTACCACATTTCAAAAAGTATAATACATTACTATTCACTATAGGTTCAAGGTTGAACAGCAGATCTCTAGAGCTTATTCTTCTTGCTTAACTGAAACTTTATGCCCGTTGATTAGTAACTCCCCATTTCCCCTTCCCCCTATGTTACAATTTTTTTTTAACACCGTGAAGGATAGCTTTTAGAAACTTTTACTACTGGTATATTCTCAAATTCCCAAAGTGAGAGATGACATGCAATATTGCTATGGTTTTTCAAATTCTTCTCCTCCAAAACACAAGACTGACCTCCTCAAAAGGGGGAAAAAAAGGCTGTATATAAAATAAGCACATTCTTTTTTTACACACATACATGGTTTTATTAATATATAATTAACATACTATTAAGTTCATCATTTGAAATGTACATTTCCAATGATTTTTAGTTTATTTACATAGTTGTTCAACCACCACCATTATCCAATTTTAGAACATTTTTATCACCCTAAAAAATACCCTTGTACTCATCAGCAGTCACTCCCCATCCTGACCCTCTCTCTCCCCTCTCCATCCAATCCTAGGCATCCACTAATGTACTTTCTGTCTCTAGGGATTTACCTATTTGGGACATTTCATATAAATGAAATCACACAATACGTGGTCTTTTTGTGACTGGCTTCTTTTACTTAACGTTTTAAGGTTCATCCATTGTTGTATTATATATCAGTATTTCATTCCTTTTTATTATCAAATAGTATTCCACTGCATGGAAATATCACCTTTTCTTTATTCATTCATCAGTTGGTGGGCATTTGGGTTGTTTCTACTTGTTGGCTGTTGTGAATAATGCTGCTATGAATATGGGTGTACAAGTTATTATTATGTGGACATATGTTTTCATTTCTCTTGGGTATATACTTGAGAGTGGAATTGCTGGGTCATATGGTAACTTTATAGTTAACATGGGAGGAACTTCCAAAACTTTTACAAAATGGTTGCACCATTTTACATTCCCACCAGCAGTTTGTAAAGATTCCAATTTCTCCACATCCTCCCCAACATTGTCTTTTTGCTGATCATCTTTCTGGTATTTGTGAAGTGGTATTTCATTGTGGTTTCGATTTGCATTTCCCTGATGACTAATGATGTTGGGCATCTTTTCATGTGCTTATTGGCTCTTTGTATGTCTCCTTTGGAGAATTCAGATCCTTTGCCTCCTCCCCCTACCTTTTTTTTTGGTATTGTAGTTTTTTATATATTCTGGATAGTATTTCTTATCAAATATATGATTTACAAATATTTTCTCCTATTGTCTATTCACTTTCTTGGTGGTGGTTGCGCATGCTCTTTTGTGCAACTTAAATTTGTGGAGTAAGCATAAGAGACCTTAAAATGAGGTGTTCAGATTAATTGTTGCAAATCTAATATATTTTTTTTCCTTTTTTCCATCCTCACGAATAGAAAATCTTCCGTGCCATGTACGACTATATGGCTGCTGATGCAGATGAGGTGTCCTTCAAAGGTGGAGATGCGATCGTAAATGTTCAGGCTATTGATGAAGGTTGGATGTATGGCACTGTGCAGAGGACTGGCAGGACTGGCATGCTCCCAGCCAACTACGTTGAAGCTCTTTAGGCATGTCAAAGCGCCGTGGCTGTCTGCAGGACCTACACCTCCTGCAGCCAGTATATCCTTTTAAACTCTCCACTGTTAGCCAAGTTCTAAAGCTGCCTAATGGTTTTTCTGTGTCAGTATGATTTATGGTTGTACCATCCCTGAATTCGTTTCCATATGAACCCCAGTAATTCTCCAGGAAAAGAAGTGTTAGTATCACTAATCTGTCCAATTACTAAACTACATTTACTTCCTCATTATTTTCTGGACTTGCTCATAAAACTTGAGACAACATTAAACCCATAGGTTCAATATTTTTTGAATTGCCATTATCAAATTTTCCTTTGGGTTTTAAAATGTTTAATTTCAGAATAGATATTTTAAACGTTTCTGCAATGTTATATTATTGCTGGATCAACCCAGAGTCTTCCTAAAGACTAATACTTAAAGAGTATTTCTTTTCTAAAACAAGGATTCTGAACATGTTAAACACATTAAAGAGAAAAACAGCAGAGACATTCACCTTTTCCTTGCTTCCTGAATGCTGATGCTTTTATTTCTAATCTGGTTCTGAAGTTATAAAGCTGATAGTCAATATAAACTGGTGATAAGCTAGTAACTAATAAAATCTATAATTCTGCAACAAATGCCGCTGATGGAATGAGCATTATTTATTTTTAATAGTTTTAAGATCTACAAATAAAACATTTCAATAAAGCAAATCCCTTACGCTAGACTTCACTAAAAAAATCAAACTTAAAAAAAAAGGACTGTTAAAAATGCACAAGCAGGCTTTGTCAAAAGTCTATCTGTACCTGTCTTCAGCAAGCTTTCCTTATGACTTGGCTTACAAAGTTTTAGAAACAGCTGTGGGGGCTAAACCTAACCTCAGGGGATCTTTCTCATCAGTATCCAGTGGGCTGCCAGTATGTGGCAAAGGTGTTAAATGGGCAAAGGGTGGAGTGCCAACCAAGAGTGGCTTATTGCTTAAATTTAGAGTATCCTTCCTAAAAAGCAAAAGATCTGTCCATCTTACTTTAGAGCTGTAGTAATACTGCTGTCCTCAAGCTTCTGTGAGTCTCTCTGAGATTCACAGTGAGTACTAGTGAAGAGGGCACACACTTGTGAACCATCAGTGACTACACCTGTATGGGAGGCACCGTGCTAGATGCTGGGGTTCGACTGATGAACAAGAGACAGTTGGTATTCTTATGAAACTTACAGTCTCAAGAAAAAGGCGACCATGCCTAAGCATCCTAATGGTAGGAGAGAGCGCCACTATTCCCTCCCAAGTCTTCCATCTCCGCTTACAATGGGTTAAAAATCCAGGTTAAGCAGGGCAACAATCCCATCGTGCACTAGAGATTTTTTTTCCCCAAAATTTTGGGAACACCTAATGTATATGCTGTCTGTAACAATAAATGCTTTAGTCTTTAAATTTCCTATTCAGTTTATAAGGCTGCCAAAGTACACTAGCAGTTGCTATTACAAAGAAAAAACATAAATCTCTTAATTCTAGGTTTTCTTTTAAGGTTTGGAAAATTTTCAACACATACAAAAGCAGAGAATCCTACTATACTCCCCTCCTAGCCTCAAAAGTTATCAACTCAGGGCCGCCCCGTGGCTTAGCGGTTAAGTGCGCACACTCCGTGACTGGCGGCCCTGGTTCGGATCCCGGGTGAGCACCAATGCACCGCTTCTCCGGCCATGCTGAGGCCGCGTCCCACATACAGCAACTAGAAGGATGTGCAACTATGACATACGGCTATCTACTGGGGCTTTGGGGGACCAAAATAAAGGAGGATAGGTAATAGATGTTGGCTCAGAGCCGGTCTTCCTCAGCAAAAAGAGGAGGATTAGCATGGATGTTACCTCAGGGCTGATCTTCTTCACCAAAAAAAAAAAAAGTTATCAACTCATAGTTAATCTTATTCCATCTGTACCCCACCAATGCTCTCCTCCCATTACCTTAAAATGAATCCTATTATACCACAATTGACACACCTCAACACACTGACAATATCTAGTGTTCAAGTTTTCCTGTTCATTCAACTTTCTAGCCATCCTCCTGGGTCTCCATTTTCAGGGAAGTCCTTTGTGTGTCTCTCCACTACCAGACTCACAGGACCTAAGGCTGCAAAGAACCTGTGACTAGACATTCATGCTAATTTCAAGAGGTTATAAAAGAGACAAATGACATCTGTAGATTACACTCAAGTCACAACTCAAACCCAGTTCTCTTGATGACCAGTGCCCACAGTACTACCCGATGTTACACTTGTGAAATGTATGTTAAGGGTTTTTCACATCTCCCTCAAATTTATATGTTGAAGTCCTAACTCCAGTGCCTACAAACGTGACCTTATTTGTTAATAGGGTCGTTGCAGAAGTTATCAGTTAAGATGAGGTCATTAGGGTAGACCCTAATCCAACAGAACTAGTGTCTTTATAAAAAAGGGAAATTTGGACAAATAGACACACACACACAGTACATGTGAAGATTAAGGCAGAGATGGGGATGCTATCTCCACGTGGCCAGGAAAGCCAAAAATTGCCAGCAAACCACCAGAGGCTAGGGGAGAGACATGGAACTGTCTTCCTCAGCCTTTAAAGATTTTTTTTATTTTTTTAAATTTATTTATTTTCCCCCCAAAGCCCCAGTAGATAGTTGTATGTCATAGCTGCACATCCTTCTAGTTGCTGTATGTGGGACGCGGCCTCAGCATGGTCAGAGAAGCGGTGTGTTGGTGCGCGCCCAGGATCCGAACCCGGGCCGCCAGCAGCAGAGCGCGCGCACTTAACTGCTAAGCCACGGGGCCGGCCCTCCTCACAGCCTTTAGAAGGAACCAACCCTGCTGACATCCTATCTCAGCCTTCTCGTCTCCAGAACTGAGACAGTAAATTTCTTTTAAGCCACTATTTGTGGCTCTGTTAGAGCAGGCATAGTAAAGTATTACAGTATCTTTCAACATCACTGTCTATTTCATTTTTTTCTTATTTAAAAGAAATATGGATTTAGAAGTGTGTGGAACCCATGAAATTACGAATTACAAGAAACTTGATGGTTAAAAACAGGCCATAAAAGGGGCAAGAATATGAATGGTTCACTTGTTTGTGGAGGAATACAATGTTCACTTTATGTAGGCATTTGGATTATGCTATTCTTATTCATTTCAGGTCTCATTAAAACAAAAAAATTAAAAAACCAAAAACCAAAACCAAACAAAACACAAGGACCAGAGCTGTTTAGTTTTTATAGTTTTATTTCAGATTAAAGTGCATTTCTTTAAAATGTTTCCCAGTTTCAATTGGCAAGTGGTAACAGTCAGCTCTCAATAGATCATGAAAAGTTTTACTGTGGATCAGATAGATTCTCCCTCCCTCAACCCAGTCATAATGAACCTGAAAATACACTTTTCATATAGGTCTGCCTGCTCCAAACATTGTACAAGCATTATACAAATAAAACTGGCTGCACCCTTAATTCCTCAACTGCACTTGTAGATGGGAAGTAACAGGTGCTTCTGTGAAGTTTCAACTTAAATCATTTATCAAATATACTTTCTGAATGTAAAACTAAGCTCTCTTAGAATACATCAAGTGATGAGAAGAAAAATATCGCAGGGCTAATAAATGACTGATTTGGCTTCTCTCAGTCTTTTCTAAGTGCATATTAATCAAGTCTATCCTCTGGAGGTAGTGTTAAGATAGATTGAAAGCAATCGATTACTCACCAACACAGAAAGCAAACTCCCCAACCTCCAATTTATTTCACAGTTGTGACTTAACCAATTAGTGCCAAATGCCTTTCCCTCAAACATCATGGTCCCTTAACATCCATGGCAAACACGTAACTGTATTTTAAGTTTAAGTAGGAGAAAAAAGTGTACCTACAAAGTACTAGTATCTCCTAGTATAGTGCATTTGAGCAATAGTAAGAAAAAATGTAATCAGGGGAACACTTTACAAAGTAAAATCTAAATAACAGCAATAGAAATCAAGAGATTAAGGAAGCAAGATCCTCAATCTGCCAGCTACAAGCAAATAACCAAATTGAATACATGCCACGTTATGAACAAAACTATCCTTTCTAACAGGGATTGGCAAACTTTATGTAAAGGGCCAGCTAGTAAATATGTACATGTTAGGTGTTGCAGGCCTACCGTCTGTCCGACTCCTCAACTCTGCTGTGGTGCAGGAAAGCAGCCAAAGATAATATGTACATAAGTATGGCTGTGTTTCAAACTTTATAAACCGACAGTGAAATTTTAATTTCATATATTTTCATGTGTCACAAAATATTATTCTTTTGACTTTTCTCAACCATTTAGAAAATGTAAAAACCACTCTTAGCTCAAAGGATATATAAAAAACAGGTGGCAGCCTGTAGTTTGTCAACCCCTGCTCTATTCAAAACTGACTAGGTAAGACTGCCATCTCTCAGTTTCTACACTCCAAAGTGATTCTGTTCTTAATTCCATTTTCCTATTAGAAAATTTCCACTCTATAAAAATAATTCTTTAGAAACTTGTTAACTATTCAATTAACTATCAAAATAACTGTCAAAATAACTATTACACCATATTCCATTTTCAGTTCCTGGACACTATTTTGAAGGTGAACTTCCTATAGTTACATGTAGTTTTATCCATTTAAGAAATAATACTGCCTTTTGTTGGAAATTATTTCTTAATTTACTGCTTTTTGGGGGCAGAGTATTAAATAATGTATATTTTTAATATTTACCCAACGTATTTATGAACATTAATTATGGTACTGTTATGTACAGAATGACTCTCAGATACCACTGGCTGCCAGCTATTTTCAAAGCATATAGGACTGTTTGTCCCTATACTAAATGGCCTAACCACTTTATTAATATTTCAGCCCAATCTGTCTTTCCCTTTCTCATGTTATCATTTATCAGTGCATCAATCTCTGTCAGCATATAAGTGTGCTAATAAGCTTAGTTTTATCCACAATTATAAATGAGTACACTAGCCTAAAGATGTTTCCTCTGCCACAAGTAGAGGATAAAAGCTACGTAGGTTTTCTCTTCCATGTGACATCAACTTAAAACACTGCCTTCCGTTTTATATTCTCAGATAAGGAGAGAGATTATCTTCTATTATAATGGTATATTTCAGGGGAATAAGCATTTACAGCTTGGCACTTCATGTTTGTTTTCAATTGTTCTTTGGTGAAAGGCTTGGCATATAAAGGAAAAAATGGTTAAGACCACATTGTAAAATTTAACATTCCACTCCAAGAACTGAGTATACACTCAATTCTGTTAGACTACTGTTCAAATATCTACAGATCTTCAAATCCAAATGACTCAGATTTTAATGGATATTTTCAAAAAGCAATATACAAAGCCTGATATGTAATATATCTATCATTAATTGAGCCATTAGAAACCACAAAGCCCAGATTTGTTTTACAGATCAAGCAATCAATAAATTTTGATAAACCAATTTAAAAAAGCCATTACTTAACTTCTGGCTTTCTTAAGTGCTTTGGATGAGGGCAGTTCTTACAAAAAGACTATTTAAATATGTAAGGGAAATAAACATCTTAACAGAATGCCAAGAAAAACTCATTTTTAGAGAATCAAATTATTCAACTATCTTTCAAATTCCATTTT